CCACTTAATTGTCACGCCCCAGACCGCATCTAAGCGCGTGTACAACCGCCGTGTGATTAAGTGACGTCACCCGCAAGTCAACCTCGCATAATCACACAAGGCGTTCATGAACATTGTTCACACCATACTCAGTAGTAAACATACATAACAACATCACATCATAGATTGAATGAATAGCGGAAAATATTCAACGGTCAATCATAAGCCACATATGGCAAAACGTAGGCTCGCAGGCCAAAACAATGTAATATTACAAAAGTATCCATGATCATAGTTTATGATTTAAAATAGTAAAGGAAGCACGAACCACGCCTTCCTCTAGATTCTTTCCACCCGTGCAAAGGTGTAGACAACAGACTCTAGCTTCAACCTGAAATGGTGGGCCCCCCCGAAGGGGTCAGTACAAGTACCGAGCGAGTAGCAAGCTAAATGTAGAGTAACTAACGTTTCAAGTATAAGACCCAAACATAGGGTGATACATATACTTATACTTCCTTACCCCAAGTTACAAAATACATATCACTACTTATATACACTTGGAAATACCCGATCCGTAGATCATTGTTTAATCGGGAAAAATAATAGTAGTCAATATCCTTGACTTAAAACCCCAACCCACCCATAAACCTATGAATGTATAGGACTCCTCCTGTCCGAATCAAATAATCATAAGGACACCACCCGATCCCAAATTACTAAATAGTAATCTATGAGTATTGAGGATACACGCCCGATCCTTGGGTACTCCACCCTATATAACCGAGTTTTGAGGATACCGCCCGATCCTTGGGTACTCCACCCTATATAACCGAGTTTTGAGGATACCGCCCGATCCTTGGGTACTCCACCCTATATAACCGAGTTTTGAGGATACCGCCCGATCCTTGGGTACTCCACCCGTCCTATGATCTACCACCTATCATACTAGATAGGGCCTATATCATAATCATTAAACAAGACTAGACCAAGTCTTAAGGCTTAAGCAAAATCATCCATTCAATTCATGCATTAAAATTAGCATATAGGCAAAGTAAGGCCAAACCGGCGTCGGTCAACTCTCGGTTGACCCGCCGGTTCAAATTCAATGTGTGTCAAACTTAGTCACAACATGTACTAAGTTATAAATAACTATTTTATGCACATTTCACCTCTAACATATCATAAATGTTTTTATAGGCATTTTCACTTTACAAATCATGCATATTTCATTAGTTCACTTCATACAAGCCTAATCACTTTAATTTGGCTAATCACATGTTTAATTCATTTAAACATTTTTATGAACACACATAACATATAATTAGGTAATCTCATGCTTAACCCAAAAGTTACAAGACATTAAGCCATCCACTCACCTCAAATGAGCTTTAAGAAGATTCTACACTTCTTAGTCGAACTCCGGCGAAACTCCGGCGAAACTCCGACGAACTCCGGCGAAACTCCGGCGAACTCTAGAAACCCTTTAGTCAAGCTCCTAATATGGTTTTATCATCACAAAACCCATATCAATACAAATAACCTCCAAAAGGTTACTTTCCGGCGAACCGGCGTTTTGGCTTCTAAGTCCGTTCTTGGACTTAGAACCACCATTCAACCCCTCATTCTACATCTCTAAACATCTAGAACAAGCCTAGGGTTTCCTCATATGCCATATAAGCCATATGATAAATAAAAAGTAGAGGAAAAGTCATTAAAGAGCTTCTCACCTTTGTTCTCAAGGTTTTTTTTCTGATTTGCAACCTTTTTCTTCTTCCTTATGCTCCTTGCTTGCTTGAGCTCTCTTGGCTATGGAGAAATGGTGTTTGCAGGGGCTCTCTCTCTCTTGGAATAGCTAGGTCGAGCAAAGTGATTGGGGTGGAAGGTGATGTGTTTCTTTTGTCTCAATTGTGAGATAATTGAGAGGAGAGGTCCACCCAAGGCCATACCCATTCCCACCAATCACTCTCACTCATTTTACACCACTCCTCCACACCATGTAGTTCTCAAAGTCAACCATTTAGCACACAAAAACGTGGGTTGGCCCCCACTCATGTGGGAGGTCACCCCTTTATGTCCCGAACTGTACGATCGGTCCCGAAAGTTGTATTTCTCGGACTGTTTAAATTATATTTTATTTTATCGGGTCAAATAAAATATAACACACGTTCTTTATCATTATTGGACCTTAGAATGAATATACATTCCTCAACTTTAATTTAGAAGTCTCCGAAATTCATTTCGGACTATTATCCGATAAATTACCAATACCGGTAATTGGGCTTTGTTTGACCGACGGGTCAACCCTATGCCCTTCCTATGGCCCAACTAAAATATCTACCACCATATACATATTATCTAGACCAAGATGAATATAATATGTGGTCCCGGGTTTATCGGGTGGTCCCCGCTCCCGATGTGGGCCCCACGTGCAATTCACTATTCACGCGAACGTAATAACAAAAATTTACAACCTCGTAAATTCACGAATCATTATTCAAGGTTTATTACATGATTTACTAAAAGTAAATATACTTGGGGACGGTGTTACAAGAAGTTTTTGATGAAATATTTTGAGCATCTTCTTCATTAAGTCTAGTTTATCCATATCAAATTTCAGATAAAAATTCAACCCGGAAGACAGTCAAATTATTTTCTGAAATGTACTGCGCTTCTTAACTGCGCAGTTATCTTCAAAAATTCATTTGACTGCCTTCCCAATTGATTTTTTAGCTGAAATTTGGTATGAGTAAATTAGACTTAATGAAAAAGATGATCAAAATATTTCATCAAAAAATTCCACCTGGAACCGCCCCAAATGGCGACGACCAAAAAAGCCTTATATATAAGGGATGATTTGCACTTTTTAAGTTAGTTCGAGGGCCTATTTGACCCTTTAGCCAAGAATATTTTTACTTGGACTTATTTCAGTCTCAAACTAGTTCAGACCAGACAAAATCAAACCAGATTAGATCAGACTAAAAAAACAAGTCAAGTAAAAACATACTTGGACTTATTTCGTCTGTGCTTCATTTCTAATTTGTGATGAGAGTTCCATTTTGTGTTTTGCACCTTAAAATACGATCCAATTTTCAATCAAAATAAATTACGACTTAGTGCAAGTGTACAACCACACACCTTGTGCAACAAATTAATTAGTTTGAAATATGATATCATCTTCCCAAAATGAAGTTCATTTCACGTTTACTCTTTTTATCTTTGACACAACTCTATTTTAACACATAATCTTATATATTAGACTGTTATCATATTCCATTTTTAGAAAACTTGTGTCATTACAAAATGTTTATCCCATACATTTGGCAAGGATTCAACATCCTTGTTAAAGCCATTTTGTCATTGAAATAGTAGCACGGAGTCGAGACAAAAATCTTCGTCAATCTAATATTAATTTGTGTCAAAATAGTTTTATGGTAAGCTAACTCTTCGATTTTGCTATTCAACATCATTTGAGTGTAGTTTTAAACATGAAAGTTTCAATCATTTATGCTAATTTAAATATTATTAGGGGATAGTAAAATTAACCTCAATTAAGCATAATAAATTTAATTGATGATCTTATTTTTTGGAAATACTAGAAGTACTTGTCATTAATAAAGTCAAAGTTTAAATTGTCAACAATATAAATAGGAGGATTAAACCACCAATAACGGCTATCAGACAAAGAACAAGTCCTAACCCATGAGCAACTTTGTTCGTATATCGCCTAACGTGAGTTCGTGTGCCAGCTCGCGACTTATAATATATTAATAATAAATAGATAAATAAATAACTAAATAAATAAATAAATAACTAAAGAAATAAATAAGCAAATAAGTAAATAAGTAAATAAGTAAATAAATAAATAAATAAATAAATAAACAGGTAAGTAAGTAAGGAAATACTCCCTCCGTTTATGAAACAAGTTCCACCTTTCCTTTTCGGGCAGATTCAAAATTAAATTAACTTTCAAACATTTCCTTATTTGGCAAATTATCTACATCAAAACAGTGTCAAACAGTGTTCAAACAGTGCCAAACAGTGTTCAAACAGTGTCAAACAGTGCCAAACAGTGCACTCCACAGTAAAGTCAAATTTATTTTCTTAATATGTGTGAAGTCAAATGTGGAACTTGTTTCAGAAACGGAGGTAGTATATGATTATATATCCATTTGTATGAGTAGATTATAGTGATTATTTATCGATCTTTACTTCTTTGTATACTCCCTCCGGTCCCAAATGAAATTCACACTTTCCTTTTTGGATAGTTTCAAAATAAACTTCACATTTCTTCTCCCTTCTTTATTTGACAAATTATCTACATCAAAACAGTGCAAAACCGTGCAAAAAGTGTCAAACAGTGCCAAACAGTGTCAAATAGTGTCACAACATTGTACTCTACAGTAAAGTCAAATTTATTTCCTTAATTTGTGTGAAGTCAAAGTGTGAATTTCATTTGGGACCAGGTGGAGTATTATAAAAGTGTGAGTGAAAGAAAGAAACTAAAAAACGAGAACGATCAAGTACAATATTAGATTTATCTAATATATGTATATAAATATAATAATTTGGAAAATAGAAATTTTATATTTGGCTCGAATTCAAATTCAAGTTCGAGCATCTTATTCGATTTCAAACTTATTAAAAATTAATTTAGCAAAGTCGACCCGAGCAAAAAAAAAAATCGACCCGAGCTCGAACTGAGCTCGATTTAGAACTCAAATTATTTAGATCGTTCAAGCTCGAACTTGATTTCGAGTTCATTAGTTCTAATCAAGTTCATTAGTTCTAATTAAGTTCGAACTCGACTTGATTCATTTGCACCCCTAATATCAAACATTATTAGAATGGTGAGAGTAAAAATGATCTGTTAAGCAAGTTCAAGCAAAAATGTAATTTATTTTCATCACCACATAATTTAACACTGTATAAAAAAAATGTTTCAAATGACTGAAATGATAAATCTCACAATTTAAAATGTACAAACGGACAGATCTAAAACTCTGTTTTTATTAGTTTTGCTTATTCGAAGTCAACGTCCACAATAATAATAGGAGTGATAATTCGAGTAATAAAAACAAGTACGGAGTACATCTGGACACGTCTTCCGGGCTCTCTGACGCTCGTTCCCTTGAAACAACGTTTCTATCTCCTCTGAATTTACCGGCACCGCCGTGCACATGGCGGCGATGTCGCTCTCGAACCTCCGCTACTCCGATAGCCTCACAGTCGTCGGCATCTCAATTTGCACGGCTATTATCTGCGAGGCCATCTCGTGGCTCCTAATCTACCGCACAGCCTCCTACAAGTCCCTGAAGTCCTCCATCGACAAGGCCTCCAAGAAGCTCGAAACTATGAAAACTCTCGAATCTTCCAATCCTGCTGCACTTCTGACAAGCAAGAAGTCCAAAACTAAGAAAATCGACCGGGTCGAGACATCGCTCAAGGAGTCGAGCCGCGACCTGTCACTCTTCAAGTTTAAATCGGGGTTTGTAGTGGCGGTGGTTCTGTTCCTTGTCTTCGGATTTCTGAACAACCTGTTTGAGGGGAAGCCAGTGGCGAAATTGCCCTTTGTGCCGATTCGGCTTGTTCAGAAGATGAGTCACCGCGGATTGCCAGGGGAGGACATGACAGATTGTTCAATGGCTTTTTTATATTTTCTTTGCTCGATTAGTATTCGCACCAATCTTCAGAAGTTCCTAGGGTTCTCCCCACCCCGCGGAGCTGCAGGAGCTGGCCTCTTCCCTATGCCTGATCCAAAGACCAATTGATCACGGGTGAATCTGATTATTTCTTTTTAGTCTTGATATTTTTAATTTTTAATTTATATATTTGAATTCTGGCTATTCGAGATAGTTGTTTCAGATTTTTTATTTTTCTATTTTACACATTATGATTGTAGCAATAATTTCATCTCACTCACATAGTTTGATTCTTAACCGAATCTTTGCGTTTATGAACACTATCTTATCATTGGGTTTCTCAATCTCCATTGGAAGCTTAAGTTTTTTATGGTGGTGTTTACTCTTTTTTATTGTGTTTGCTCCATATGAAGGGCTTTGCCCTGATGTTTCATTCTATGTAAATGCTGTTTCTTTGTCCTGAAGTTTTCTTATTTATTCTAGTTGATTTTACTAGTTGAGGAACATCTTGTTTTGATGTTATACATTTGTGTATGTAACAGTTAGAGACTTAGAGCATCTTCCACCTTTTTGTTAAATGCTCTCTTGGTTCCATAAAATGCTAGGAATTGTGGAAGCAAATTATTTGAACAAAATAACAGTTGCTTTGAGACAGTGAAAAAGAGAGTATCATCTCTAATTTTTCGCAATATTTGTATAAATTTCTTGCTCAAAATATCTACAACACTGTAGTTGTGAGAATGTTTTGAGAAGTAGCAGTGCTCTTGACCAGCATTGGTACCAATACAAAGGTCTAGTAGTAGTAGTCCTCTAATGTGGTTCACCTAGCATCTCCATCTTAAACTAATACTCCGTAATCCATATGTCCCTTTTCTTATCTTCATTCTCTCATTTCTAGTGTGTCCCCATATGCAGTCTTCCACACAGTTTTCACTTTGAAATATGGTGCTGTGAAACAGGAGATTATCTGTACGGATGGATTGGATATTTTAGTCTATTTTCCATAGTGTGACTATTTGAACCAATGCTAGTTCTCAGCTCAAGGTGTTAAAGTGCATGAATTACTCAAGCACTTAGAGAATTTGACAAATAATGATTGGAAAATAGGGACTTGCTGAAGTCCCAGAATCTAACAAATGTGTTATACTGTGGTGTTATACTATGATTTTGACAATTTGAATCAATTCTTGTTCTCAGCTCAAGGTGATAAAATGCTTGAGTTATGCAGGCACTTCAAGAATCTGTGAAACTTATGATTGGAAAAAAGGGCGTGCTGAAGTCCCAGAATCTAACAAATGTGTTATAGTTTATACTATTGGCCGAAACCCACAATATAAACTACAAATCACAAACTTTGTCAGTAGTTCGGTACATACATGGAAGGAGGTTGTGACTATCTAGATTCTAGACCCTTATAAGATTAAGGGCCTGTTTGGTAGCCAGATCTTGCATATGAAGTAGAATAATTGGTTTTTGACTCTTTTTTGCTCAAATAAATACTAGTGACCTTGTTGCCTACCCTCTCCCCCCATTTCTAAATATAAGTATGAGTCTAACCATACATTGATTTTCTGGTGTAATATAATATGGCCATGCATTTGTCTATTAATTATGTGGGGCTGCATTGATAATTCATGGACAGTGCAACTTTGGAGTGCTGTATCCTGGGAGCAGGTAATGTTTGGTTTTTTGGTTCAGGTGCTTTCCTTCAAGCAAATTTATGTCTTCTAGAATTTGACAGTATAGGTTTGCTGATGGATTGTGTGTGCCCTTACAAGCTGGGGCTTGAAAATAGAGAACAATCCACAGTATTGGACTTGGTATTGAGCTAATTTGACACTGTCTAGTTTTAATATATAGACAGACCGAGAAGCCAAATATAAGGGAAGGAGAGATATACTTGTATTTGAGGACTGGTTCACTTATTGAGTGTATCTAAACTAGGGGCAGACACAGTCCGGGTTCCAAACTAGAATTATGTGATTGTTATGGTATATGTTACCCTTGAACGGACCGCGCTTCCTGTCCGGAACAGGGAGCACTATCCAGTTTCATACTTATACAGTTTTGGGTCATCCATAGCATGATCAAACCGGCTATGTTATCAAATGGCCGAGTACATGCCTGAGTTCACCCTACTCTGGGCAGGGCCTTGCTCGTTACTCGTTAGGCTGTATTTACTTGGATTGAAAGTTTCTGGTCTACTCTAGTTTGTTTAAGTAGGGTCTGAACTAGTCTAGTCTGGTTTAACTGGTCTAGTATGGTCTGATAGATGTCTAATTTATGTGTATTTTATACTATTCCATTACTCCGAGTAACTTACCGAGTACTTGGCAATTTTCTCCAATCAATGACAAGGTTGACTCGCCGAGTTACTCGGTCGCTAGTAAATTGATTATTTTGGGGTTAAATCTTAAAAATTTGAACTAAATTGGGATATTATGGAACATATATGAATCATTAGTAGGTATTCTAAAATTTTGAAATAATAAGATTTCAAGTTCGGCTTAGGTTTGGGGATAGGACGATGATGAAGAAGAAAATGACGTCCTTGAACCCAATAAAGATTAGTTCTTAGACAAAAGTCTAAACTTAAGCATTATTACGTGATTGATTGATTATCTTGGAAATTTGAAACTTAGAATGTTTATAATTATTGGGATTTATTGCTACTTCAATATTAGGATTATTATTATCTTATTCACACTTGAGAATTATAAGACTAATACGAAATATATTACTATAATTTTGTGGCATTTATGTTTTTAAATTGGGAAAAATAATAAAAATACCCCAAACTTTGAAGGGTGTGAGGTAAACACCCCAAACTTGCATATGTAATTTAAATATCCCAAACTTTGTATAAAAAGTTATTTTTGCACCATCAGCATGTATTATTTCTTTCAAAAATGTAAATTTATGGGGTTAATTGCATAATTTAACATAGCAAATTAAAAGTGTTGCAATTATATAGATTGGGGGTAACATTATTTATTTCGCAATGGAATTTTAGAATATTGTTGTGTCTTCATGAATTCTAAAATATTTTAAATTATGCTATTAACACCATAAATTTACATTTTTGAAAAAAATAATACTTGACTATGGTGCTAAAGTAACTTTTTATATAAAGTTTAGGGTATTTAAATTACATATGCAAGTTTGGGGTATTCATCTCTCACCCTTTCAAAGTTGGGGTTATTTTAATTATTTTTCCCTTTTAAATTTCACTATTGTAATAAAGAGTTGACTAATCACTGAGTAATTGGTTTTATTCGCTGCTCGGCCATTAACTAAGTTGTCACCGAGTAGTCGTATAAGGGGACGTTTGGATCTGATTCTTAAAACTGCTTCTACTCATTCAGGGAGCAGAAACAGAAATTAGAGTGTTTGGGTGAAAGTGCAGAAATGATTTTGGTGCTTTAATTTACTCCTAGAATCATATTTTTAGAAGCTGAGGAAGATCAGTTTTTGAAAACTGATTCTTATTCTGATTCTGATTCTGTTTCTACTTTAAAAAAGAAGCAGAAGCAGAATCATTTCCAAATACCCCTAACTATTTAGCAAACTGATTAGTTCCAATTTCGCCCCCCTCCCTTCCCATTTTTATTTTTACTCTAAAATCCGGTGCGAACCAGCCACAAATTGGACCAGAATTGAACATAGACCTTAACAGGTCGGATTACTATATATGGGGGCATTGAGAACGAGACGGGAGCTGGACCATTCCTAGGCTAATGGACCCGGGCTTGGGTTTATTCCATGCCAAACCCAGGAAGCAGACATGATATTCCAGCTGGTGCTCCAAAATAGACTCAATAATGGCTTAATATGGGCTGGAATCAACCCCAAGACTGACATGTCTTTTAATATACTCTCTTCGGTCCTAAATAAACTTCACACTTTGTCTTTACACAAATTAAAAAAATAAATTTGACTTTACTGTATAGTACACCGTTGTGACACTGTTTGGCACTGTTTTGCACTTTTTTGCACTGTTTTGATGTAGATAATTTGCCAAACAAGGAAGGGAGAAGAAGTGTAAAGTTTATTTTGGACCTACCCAAAAAGGAAAGTGTAAAGTTTATTTAGGATCGGAGGGAGTATGCAGTTAAGGACAATCCACTTAAAGCAAAGTCCTAAAAAGTATCATTAGACTTTTTGTACAAGAAAAAGCTTATATTCTCTCCGTCCCAATTTGTAACATACTTTACGGATTACGATGTTTGACCGATGATAAAGCAAATTGATCCCCGTCAACACTCAAATTAGTTTTAGAAAATAAAATTTTCATATTCAAAAACTACATTAAAATTGATACAAAACCTTCAAAAAATAATCCAAATTTCATAAACTTTTTATATACTCCCTCCGTCCCGGAATTACCTTTATACTTTCCTTTTCGGTCTGTCCCAAATTTATCTTCTCTTTCCCTTTTTAGCAAAGAATTTGTGGTTCACAACCATTCTTACAATTTCTTACACTTTTCTCTTTCCTCTGCACAACTCTCCACCACACATTTCTCACTATCTTAATATGTGTGCCAATTGTACTTGTGAAGATAAATATGGGACGACGGGAGTATAAAATAAAAGATTAAGAATGATTTATGTTCACCAACTGAATAGTAAATGTATTTTACAATTTGGGACTGAGAGAGTAAGGGGGTGTTTGGATCTGATTCTTAAAACTGCTTCTGCTCCTTCAGGGAGCAGAAGCAGAAGTTGGGGTGTTTGGGTGAAAGTACAGAAGTGATTCTGGTACTCTAATTTACTCCTAGAATCAGTTTTTTTAGAAGCTGGGGGTGACCAGCTTCTGAAAACTGATTCTGATTCTGCTTCTGCTTTTAAAAAAGAAGCAGAATCAGAATTAGTTCCAAACATCCCCTAACTTTTTTCATTAATGAGTTTTTCTAAATACCTCGAAATCTCCGACTCAATTTTTATTGAGCCTTCTGTTTTAATCCTTATGTTTTTGTGCTAAACAACCGTTCTTTCCCGAAACCCTTCTGGACCTTGGATCTTGCTTTTGCTCCCTAGACTTCTAATTTCCAGTACTCTTGCAGTAGTAACGGTCATAAAATCTTTTTATATGCAAAAGATAGGCAATCAATCTTTTTGGAAGTATTGTCTTTATTTCTCTTAAGCAGAATATTTCTGAACATCTCTTCCATAATATTAGTCAAAGATTTGTGTATCAATCATTTCAAATCACTATATTTATCACTTTGCCAATGGTGATTTAGGATGCTAATATGAATCTCCATCCAAATCTATCTCACGCTCATCGCTCTACATTGAGTAAGCTTTGCTCAAACCAGAACCTTTCTGTATAGGAAAGACACGGGATTTAGTGGTTTTGGAACCTAACTTGCCCAAATCTCGGTTCAATTTTTCTGAAATTTCCAACTCCGATGTAAACATTAGTATTAGGATATACATTAGTACTTGAATTTGGCTGTTGAAGGAAATTTATGTTTCACCCTTCAACACGGGTAAAAATGTGTTTACTGTTATCATCTCAATGGACATGCAAAGTAAAAGTCTAAAAGGGGTAAGTTTTTAATGACTTGGATATGTGCTATATTCTTAAGATTTAAGATGTTTTTAATTTGATTGCAATTTTCGGGTTTGATTTGGCGTGATCTAGTCTATATAGTGTAGTTTGATCTATGTGTATTTTATAATTGCCGAAATAAAGTTTGATTTATTGAAGTCTGATTTGATTTGTTTTAGTTTAATTTGGTCTGATCTAGGACGGAAATAAGTCTAAGTATAAACATCCTTGAGTCACTGCTCACTAGGAAGTAGGAACGGAAAGTTTTGAAGCAAACTGATTTACTGCAAACAGTGCCCAAACCCATTGGGAGAGCACAACATGTTTGGCCCAAATATACGATAGGGTGTACAGTGTGTTATGACACGAGCCTGACAAAACTTTTTGTAAAATTATTTGTTAGAGTCTATAAGTTGTACATCGCCAAATGAAAAACGCACTATATAGATGAGGTTTTACAGCAAAACATAAATTTGAACAAACTATGAAGTTTTAATGAGAGAATTTCTTTGAAAAAATTGTAAATGTCCTCACGACATTGAAGATTTTATTTAAGAAATAATGACCTCAATATTAGTAATATTCTTTTGATTTCCAAGAGTATGACTCCTTGTATATTTTCTATAAAAGTGATTTATCCTTATTAATGAATTACTCTTCTCTTTATCGCCTCAACAACCAATTTCATCGCCCTCTCACTCCACCACCCAACAATGAACAACCGTCGCTCACCATCATCCCATCTTCATACATTCTTCTTCATCTTCTCTGGCGCAATCTACCTTCTCCGATGGTAGGATTTTAACCTCCGCCCTCAACTTCGTCGACGACAGCAACATGGACCAAAACTCCGATTAGAGGCTTAGCTTCTCCGTTGCCCTCACTGGTCGCCCCTCCCATGGACGAAGACTCCGATTTGAGGCTGAAAGTTCTGGATCTGCCTTCCTCAATGGACGACGACTCTGATTCGGACCTGTCGATGCCGGATCTGCCATCTTGAAGGACGAAGACTCTGATTTGGGGCCGTCGTTGCTGGCGGAGGTGCGGTG